CTTAAAATAAATAAATATATCAAGCTTTTCCGCTCAAACCGCCCCGCCACCGGGCGGGGGGACCGGTCCTGTCGTCTTCCGCCCCCCCAAACTCCCGCCAACCCACCACCGTCCCGGGAAACGGGGAAAAATGGGGGGAAGGGGGGGATGGCCACTCACGGATCTTGACTTTGCGGTGGTCGAGGCGGGCGAGAAGCGCTTCCAGGGCTCCCAGTCGTCGCTGGAGCCGGGCGTTGCGGTGGCAGAGGGAATCCGCCTCGCTGAGGATCCCGCCGAAGATGTCGCCGGCGCAACGGGAGAGGTCGGAGAGCTGCATCAGCAGCGACACCAGGGCGTACGAACTGACCTGCTCCAGCGCCCCGAAAAGGGGTACCGAACCGCGGCGCCGTCCACCGGTTCCGCCGCCGCCGCCTCCCCCCTCCGCCGTCCCGCCGTGATCTCCCCCCGTAACCGGGCCGCCCCGTTCCGCGCCGTCCCCGCCGGCCTCCTCCAACCTGCACAGCTTCAGGGGCTCCAGGGTCCGCAGGGGGAACGGCATCGCGGCCGGGAGGCGAGGAGGAGGAGGAGGGGGGTTGGGGCCCCGGGGGGGGGGGAACAGACGCGGGGGGGGGGAGAACAAACTAGGCGTCCCCGGAGCAAAAAGTCTTCATCTGCGGCGCGGTGACAAAAAGTTTAGAAAGAGGAGAGAAAAAGAGAGGGAGGGAAAGAGGGAGAACAACAACAAATGAATCGGGGGCGGGAGGGCGGCCCGGGCTACAAGCTCCGGGGCTCGGGGGAAACCGCCGCCGCCGCCACCGGCTGGGCGGAGGGGGAGCCCCGCACGGCGCCCATGTGCGGGAACGGCCCCAGGGAGGCGGGAGGAGGGAGGGAGGGAAGGAGGGGAGGGGAACGGAGAGGAGGGGAACGGGGCGGCCGCCGCCACCGCACGGCGGGTGCGGGGAGGGAGAGCACGGGGCGGCGCTGCCCTACGGCCGGGAGACAGGAAAAGAGCCCGGTTTTGTGGGCCCCCCCCCCTCCCCAATCTCCACTTCGGGAGGGGGGGAAGGAAGGAGGAAGCGTGGGAGGAGGGGAGGGAAGGAGGGAGGGGGGTGGTTGGAGAGCCCGGGATGCGGCCACAAAGGAGTAAAAGCAGCCAGAGAGCTGGGGGGGGAGGAAGAGGAGAAAAAAGCCGGGAGCAGCCCCCACCTGGGGAACCCCGAGCCGTTGACAAAGCGCTTTTCCCAACGCACTCAACTCCCGACCCGGAAAAGAGAGAGAGAGGAAGAGAGAGAGGGGAGGAAAGGGGGGAAGGAAAAGAAAAAATTTACAAATAAATAAATAAATAAATAAAGCCTCCACCAACCTGGGAACGGAGGCCGCCGCCTACCTGTGGCTTCCCGAAATGGAGCCTCTGCCACAGCCTCACCCTTCCCGGCCTGAGGTAGCCCCGTGGCTACCAACACGGCTCCCCCCGGGTGGGAGAGGGGACACACACACCCCCAGTCCCCGCTGTCACCCCCTTTCACCGGGAAGGAGGAGATGGAGCAGGTCTTTTTCTCAACCCCCTTCCCCCCAGGTGGGGCTGGAGATGGTGCCACAAAGAAGAACCCACCAGGCCAAGGCGAGCGGTGGAGCTGTACACCTAGTTTGGGGTTAATTTTTAGCGAGGGTGACACTAAAGTAGGAAAAAAAAGCCAATTCTGAACCAGGAGGCATGACATGGAGTGTCCCAGCACCTACTTCTGATGCAGGTTGAAGCCCTAGGAGCTCCTGTAAGACGCTATCAGCTCTCCATGGAGATGACGGCTCTAATGGGCTATTCCCCACAGAGCCAATTTAGCCTACTAGCAACTGTCAACAGCTGCTATTTAATTTTAATTGGAAAATGGCCTACTGGCTCCGGGCTCCTGCTATATGATAAAAGAAAGGAACCCAATCCCACTCTTTTTGTGGAAAAAGGGCCCTGGGGAAAAGTGGTTATATGGTCCCTTCTCGCCCCGCTGCAGCTGATGAATCTGTGATGAAAGAAAGAGAATCAGCTGGAGAAGGGAGGACCCAGGGACAGATACAGTGTGCCCTCCCATTAGCATCTTGGGGATGCATAATTTATCACCAAATATTCTGCTTTATAGTAATTCTCATATCTAGCGTTAGCCTCGGTCACTTAAGGGAAATCTGAAGAAGACAATTCCACACTGGAGGAGTTTGGGGACAAGGACACCCCTGTGCAAAGCAAAGGTTCAAAGGCCCACAGAAGAGTTAAGATCTACAAGAAACAGTTAGGGGTGATGCTCATACACCAAAAAAAAATGCAAGTCACTAAATCCTCTCGCACATTAAGCTAAAAAAGGCTTTCATCTAGGTCCTTGGGAGAAAAAAAGGTCCTTGGTTTCCTCAGGAGAAAAAAAGCAATGCAATCTAGTGTTAATAAAATAAAGAACAAACTGAACAAACCCACTTTTCTTCAGACCTCGGTCCAAACAGGTTACCAATGGATAACATTCCAACTTGGAAGGCTCCCACTGGTTTTCCATTACAGACTGAGTGCACATGAGCAGTATTTGTAGAGACTGATGAGAAGAACATGGTGCAAACAGGCTAAATGGTGTTTCATCAGGGTTTTCAGCACGTAAGGAGTCCTAAGGAATAGCGTTGCAACAGGGAAGCTGTCAGGATTGATTAGCAGGGGATGGAAAGCACTCATTTCTCTCCTATTGAATTCTTCTGGTTTTATTTTGGGACATAATGTCTTCATTAGTTCTTAGATGTGTTTGTTTGGGATAGTCGTTTGATAAAAACTACGGCCCGTTCACAGGCATGTTTGAATTGAGAAAGTATCTTCGTATGTTTTCTTTAAATTATGGGAGCATCGTGGAGAAACCAAGTAGGAGGTGGACTTTAAATATAAAGCACAGTAGGAAGAAAAGAAGCCAAGAGCTCAGTTCAGGTGTCAGCTGAAAAGAACCCACAGCAACACAATGTCATAAGACCGTGAGCATGTTTGTTTGATTGGAAATTACTCATGTTTATTTTGAAGTTTTAGTAATAGGTGGATTTGAAAAAAAAAAGATATATTTACCAGTCTAATATCCTTTCTGAAAATTCAGGTCAAATCCCGATATTGCAAGTATTTTTGCATGTTCTTCTCTGTGAGCAGGAAAAAGCGTTTAAAACAGATTTGAGCACAGGGAGAACAATGAAGAGAAACCTAAATTTTAGACATCGCCAAAATGTGGTAAAGAGCCTCAGCTACTGTGAGTGGGTGGAAATTCACTGCCAGTGAAGCCTGCTTTCCCTATTTCACTGGTTCCTGTGTTTGCCAACTGTGAAATGAACTACTGTGACAGCTTGAATAATTCCGGTGGGAATAATGTCTCATAAAAAAAAAAAGAAGGTCTTTTTAGGACTGACAGTTAAACCAAGTTAAGAAATAAATCTGAATTTTAAATGCACTGAGGTTCCTGAAACATTCAAACTCTGTATTATTCCAGAACAAGACTTTTTTCTCATTAATTTACTGGGGTCGATTTTTCTGGGATGGGCTGTTACTATATGGAATATTCAGAAAAAGACAGATGTGAAAGAAATGTAAATATTGAGTGACTGAAATATGAAGATTGGTTAACTGAAACCAGTAAAGGATGGTCTCAGAGCTTGTTTCTTCCTGTGCAAAAGGAAGGGACGTAGGAAGGGAAACGGAGTTTAAATACTGACACAGTTGGAGATTTAAAGCATTCATCGTGCTGGAAAGGAAGCATTTAAAATTTCTAAATTTGGTGGAAAAACTGACTTTCTTAAGGACACACAGATGCCCCCCAGCTACCTATGCATATTTTCTCCTTCAAGTGATTATAGATGGAAAAGGTTTCCTTTTCTGGCGGCACTGTGAGGATGCTCCTGCCCCTTTTTTCTACTCATGTGGGCACAGCTGGTTAGGGGGCAACACCTGGCAGGGCAGTGGTTGGTGACTGCCCCTGTGCTTCTCCCTGCTGTCCATCAGGCTGCTGCCCTTGGGTGAGCCTTCTCTGTGGCTCATGCCATGTCCATGTCAACGCAGTTTGTGGCAGTCGTGGTGTGTAAGTGATGGGATTGAGGGGCTGTGTTCTGTTTAGCCGCAGGGAAGGAGGTCTGCAAGCTCAGTGGGCACCAGTCGCACCTGCAAATGACCTCAGTCAGGTGTGGGAGATCCTCTGAGAGGAGGAACAGAGCCTAGAAAACCAAGATGCAGAGGAGGAAGGCAGACAAAAGAACAGTAGAGACTTTACTAAAGATTGCAAGTCAATATTGATTTCATTTTTAATGAAAGTTCATTGGAAAGTTCGTTACGTCCGAATCGTCGCTTTCTTCCTTCAGCGTTTTAAGCCTCAAGTTAAATTACCACATTAAGGACCTAGTAACTTTCATGTTCTATTTCAAGAAACAGAAGAGGAGTCTTGTGGGAGTTACTCATCACCTATTGCGGAACGAACGCCGCGCTTCCCTCGGGTTGCTTCTGCAATCCGTGTGGGCTCTCAGAAGCAAAGGGCCAGCAGTAGTACAAGAACCACCTGGTCAACCATGAAACACCAAGCAGCTCATCCTGAAACTGTAGTTATGGGCCAAGAGGGTAGTTTAGATGTGGTCAGTTTGGGATCACCAGGCTCCTCCTTCGTAGTTTAGCCCACAGATTCCATCTCTATCCATGTGTAGGCCAGGAAAACCCAACCATGTTGATATATAGGAATAACCAACAGTACAGCTTGGGGGGATTGGAGAAGGCCATTTCTTGGTTGCTCCCAGAGCAGTGCTAATGAGCTCTGGTTTGTAATTTAAAAAGCAAGCTCAATATTCTGGGCACACAGTCAGCTCCTGTATTATTGAGCTACTTTGGCTGTTGAGGTGTAGAAATTTGGTGTAGGCTGAAAATAAGAGGCAATTCTGCAAGAGCAGGATGTTTTCTGACATGTGGATGCTCTCACTCTTGTTGGGGCACTGGGCTCTTTTCATACGTTTAATTTCTGTTTTCAATAGAAAACTTCTTTCAAAGAACTTTGCACAAGATAGGCAGAAAATGGGAGTGGATCTGACTCCTGACAAACTTAAATGGTACCAGATTTTTACCCATTTCTTTAGTGGTCTATCCCTCATGAGTGCATACTTTTTGTGCTTTATATAAAAATTAACAAATCATCAAATTAATAACCACAGGAAAAATGATACCTGTTTTGCTGGGTTTCTTTAAATTTACACGCCACTATGTTAGACTGAAGATCACCTTTGCCTGATGACACAGCAGAACTTCAATCATCACTTTCCTTCCAGCTTGCCAATGCCAGGAACTATTATTATTGTACCCAGCATGGCCCCAAATCCTCCTTTCTTGTCCAGAAATGGAATCCTGTGGATATTCTTTTAAAACTAATAGCAGAACTTCTCTGATGATGACAGGTGTTTGCTTACAAAGTCCTATTTTCCTGGACATTCATTGTTTCAAACTCCTGCCAGCCCCAAGTTCTCCTTGTCTGGCTCATCCCTGGATCATGCACCTGCTTGAAGCCTGGAGCTGAGCTCCCTTTTCCGTTTAGTTCTGTAATATGTTTCCTGATTTTCTTCACCGTGTCATCTTCACCAGTAAACAAAGACAGCAGTGTAACTCCAACACCTTCATCCCTGCTATTCAAAGTACTAGCAGATATATCCACGCTTTCATAGTAGGTGAGTTTAATATTTTCTTGAGCACTATCTTAAAGGTTAGTGGTTTGTTGCACCGGTCCCAGTGATTTTTTCTGTCCCTGCTTTCTTTTCTCAGTCTTAAAATTAAACTAGAATTTATCTTTCGAGTCTGTCCAGCTTGTGGCTTAGACCTTTGGTTGGTCGTTCTGCTGGCTGGTGCCTGAGCTTTTCAGAGCTCCAGAGCTCTGCGTATCTACACAAGTGCAAGAGTCAGCACACTATGTTCTGCCAGCTTAAAAACTCCCAAACCCTTTCTCATTTTTCTATCTTTACACAGTTGTCTTTGGATAAAAGCCACGCTAGCAATGGTGCAGTGGGACAATCAAAGCTAACTGCTGCAGGAGTGACACTGTGGAGGAAACGGTAGTTGTGATGGCCTTAGGATATGATTCAACAGCACACCGACCAGGCGTGACAGCTCTTTGCCACTAAAAGAGGAGCTCTTCCACCCCTGCTTCCTTCCTTCCATTCCTGCTCGCGGATGCACGGTCTGTAGGTTGCTCTGCAAGCAGCTGAGGTCCTCCGTGTGTAACTGCTGCAGCTCTGCTGAATAAAACAAGGCAGCTGACACGCTGGGAAGAAATTGCAGGAAAATGTACTCTTCTCATTATCTGCACCTCAACACACAGCAGCTTGTTGTGCCGTTCTCAGGGGAGCAGAATGGCAGAGGGAAATCTAGAATGAGAATAGGAAAACGAGTAAGAAACTATAAAGCCTATAAAAACGACTATAACACTGCAGCCCCCTCAGAGCTAAAGGCACATAATGATCATCACAGAATAGACCTCCGTGTGGAACTGCTGCAGCTCTGCTGCCTAAAACGAGGCAGCTGACACGCTGGGAAGAAATTGCAGGAAAATGTACTCTTCTCATTATCTGCACCTCAACACACAGCAGCTCGTTGTGCCGTTCTCAGGGGAGCAGAATGGCGGGGGGGAATCTAGAATGAGAATAGGAAAACGAGTAAGAAACTATAAAGCCTATAAAAACGACTATAACACTGCAGCCCCCTCAGAGCTAAAGGCACATAATGATCATCACAGAATCTTCTAGGTTGGAAGGGACCTTAAAGATCATCTTGTCCAACCGTCAACCTAACTGACAAAAATAGACACCCACACAACAAACAAGGAGCATCATCACTAAACCATACCTCCCAGCACTACATCAACCCGTCTTTTGAACACCTCCAGGGATGGTGCCTCAACCACCTCCCTGGGCAGCCCATTCCAATGGCTGATAACCCTTTCAGTGAAAAAATTTTTCCTAATATCCAGCCTGAACCTCCCCTGGCGCAACTTGAGGCCGTTTCCTCTTGTCCTGTTGCCTGTGACTTGAGAGAAGAGACCGACCCCCACCTCTCTACACCCTCCTTTCAGGTAGTTGTAGAGAGCAATAAGGTCTCCCCTCAGCCTCCTCTTCTCCAGGCTGAATCATCAGAGGCTTTTGATCCTTGTGTTCAGGGCAGAGCAAAGAGAAGACAGTCAGTCACTATGGCAGCGTGGGACTGAGGCACAACCCACCTTCAGGACTCCAGTTCATGGAAATGGAAACAACCCCAAGCTGAATCTCCCTCAAGAAAAACCAAGTTGCTGGGAGATTATCTCAATGGGTCGATAATGCGTCTGTTGGAGCTGCTGTACCAATTTGCTTTATTTGGTTGAGTCATTTCTGTGTCTGTTGACACAGCACATTCCTCACTGCCACTTCCTTCTGGCAGAAAGGTCTTCCGATACATTCCTTTTTTCTTGATTGATGAATTTGTTTAGGTTTCTGCTTCACAACGACTTCAGTCATCTAAATATCATGGAATCATAGAACCACAGAATGGTTTGGGTTGGACGGGACCTTAAAGATCATTGAGTTCCAACCCCCCTGCCCTGGGCAGGGACACCTCCCACCAGACCAGGTTGCTCAAAGCCCCATCCAGCCTGGCCTTGAACCCCTCCAGGGATGGGGCAGCCACAGCTTCTCTGGGCAACCTCTTCCAGTGCCTCACCACCCTCACAGCAAAGAATTTCTTCCTAATATCTAATCTAAATCATGTATAATTATTAATTATCACTGAGTTACATAGCTACAGGTCTGCATACAGCCTGTGACTGTAGGACAGGAATATGGGTGTCATCATTTGTGAAAGAAAAATTGCACTTGGAAAAACAAAGGCTGGAGGAATTATCAGCTGAAAATCAGACTCAACAGATGGAGATTTCAGAAATGCTGAGCAAAGTCTTTTGTTGCTGTCCCCAGCTTTAATGAGAACAGCTTGTGTTGAAAGCTTTTGTAAATTCCATATGAATTTTTTTATTTATCTAAGACTATGACCACATTTGTCTTCTCTAATTGTGTTATATGTGGTCTCCTTTGAAGTAATTACACAGTTTACATTTTGATTCATGAACTAAAGATCGTAACAAAAACCCTAAAAGAGTTTGCAAAACAATTCAGTCAAACAAGACTTGAAGTTGTATTTTTTTAACAAGGCTGATTATATTCTCAAATGAATTCCTCAAGACTTGGGGCAAACAATACACCCAACGGATGGGAGCAAAAACCAACAACCCAGTTTTTATCTGAGATAGCAACCACCCTGACAGTCCCCATCCTTTAAACAAGTTGTTCAACCAATTCCATCCATCATTTACTTGTAATTTCTTCACTCCATCTTTCAGAAGCTGGATACTTTTATGTAGTGATTCCGAGCGATCCGATAAATTCATACAACACATTCCCTCAAAGTCTTCACATCCATGTCCTTGGGCTAATAACAGAAAATCTATCACGGCTCTATTTTGTAATGTAGCATGTCTAACACCATCAACATCAGTCAACAAGCCACTCAGTGCAATCGACGTAGCGTTGGTTTGCTTACTCAACCAACATCCCAAGTTCATCAGCTTTCTCAAGGTGGCCGCAGCAGCAACCTCAGGTGCCAATCCTGGGGCAGCTATAATTTATCCAGGTCCCCAAAAGGTGACTGTATCCTCACAGTCAACCTCAAATTGATGGATATATCTTCTGGTTCGTTTTTTGTTGTGAATCCTAGTAAGGTTGGGTGTTAGTAATGTAAGCTGCCCAAGGCTACATGGCCCACCATTAAGTTTCAATGGAATTCCCCCCCATGCTCTAGCCCCACAAATTAAAAAAAATCCCTGCAGGCAAAGCAACTGGAACAGAAAAAGAGCGTGATATATTGGAGGAGGTGTAATTCATAGAATAGAATCATAGAATCATAGAATTGCCCAGGCCGGAAGGGACCTCCAAGGGGCATCTAGTCCGACCCCCCCGCAGTCAGCAGGGACCCCCCCAACTAGACCAGGTTGCCCAGGGCCTCGTCGAGCCTCTCCTTGAATATCTCCAAGGAAGGGGCCTCAACCCCCTCCCTGGGCAACCTGTTCCAGTGCTCCACCACCCTCACAGTGAAGAACCCTCTCCTAATCTCCAGTCTAAATCTGTTCCCCTCCAGCTTGAAGCCATAATTACACCAGGCTGTAGCATTTCTATACACAGGCAAAGTAGCACTTACATTCTGACCCATTCGAGTGGTGTTATAGGTATAGTTAAACATCACACAAGCATCCCTTGTGACTGATCCCAACAACTCCAGCTCTTGAGGTTCTTGTGTTACCTGAGGCAAATGTGCACATACACCATCCCAGTTATCAACACAGGAGCGTGGATTATCGCAAGGGCTGGGAAACCCATGAGACAGAGATGAGTTCGTAGAGTGTTGAGTTTCTCCTTCATCTGGAGGAGGAGGAGGAGGTGGTGGAGCCGACGGCTCTACTGGAGCTGAATTATAGGTGTCAACCGAGGGCACTAGTTCCAGCTCATTTAACAGCTCTGTGGGGGTTTTATAAGCTCTATCACGAGCTGCCAAAGAGCATTTTGTGTACATCTCATCATCAGAATCTGCCCAAAGCTTCACCCTCCTCCGCAGCTCACGGGTTTTAGGGCATACTCCGGAACCTACAATCTTTTCTCCTTCTGGCATTACATTCCCCGTTGTTCCCTTAGCATCCATCATTTGTTTATTCCCCTCAGTCTGTTCTTCTGAAGGAAGTGGCACGGGGGGTGTAAGACTTTGGAAAGTATTAGAAGCAGAGGTGGTGCCCTCTGCCTGATCTCGCTGGGCTTTAAAGTCTTTCAGAGTCTCATAAAGCAGACGCCACGTCGTTAAAAGTTCTGCAGCATCTTTTGCCCCCCGTGTGGCACCGTCAAACAATTTATCACCTAACTCTTTCCAAGCAGAAACACTGAAAGAAGTTACGGTAGTTGCCTCATATCCTTGTTCTTTACTCCACAATAGCATTTTTCGCAATAACAAGTCACAGAATCACAGAATCTTCTAGGTTGGAAGGGACCTTAAAGATCATCTTGTCCAACCGTCAACCTAACTGACAAAAATAGACACCCACACAACAAACAAGGAGCATCATCACTAAACCATACCTCCCAGCACTACATCAACCTGTCTTTTGAACACCTCCAGGGATGGTGCCTCAACCACCTCCCTGGGCAGCCCATTCCAATGGCTGAGAACCCTTTCCGTGAAAAAAATGTTTCCTAATATCCAGCCTGAACCTCCCCTGGCGCAACTTGAGGCCATTTCCTCTTGTCCTGTTGCCTGTGACTTGAGAAAAGAGACCGACCCCCATCTCTCTACACCCTCCTTTCAGGGAGTTGTAGAGAGCAATAAGGTCTCCCCTCAGCCTCCTCTTCTCCAGGCTGAATAACCCCAGCTCCCTCAGCCGCTCCTCAACTCCAACTTAACTCCTCGGTTTTGCAAAATCGTTTTCCATGTAGAAAGGATCATAGTCTCTTCTTTACTTAATGAAGTACCCATGCTCCCGGCAGCTCACCTCATCCAGGTGTCTCTTCCAAAGCCACCTCCGGCAGCTCTACCCGCCGCTCTCTGGGATGTTGGGCTCCGTCTCTGCGGCTCTACCCACCAGCCTTGTAGTCCAAGTGCTGTGATCACCTCGGGATCACCAGATGTCGCTGTTGAGATGGACACGACACACACGGAATTACGAGCGAAAAGCCCAAAAACCCCAAAAGAACCCATTTATTGTTTAAACAAGCCCTTTTATATCTTTCTTAAGAATGTGTGTCCATATACGATTGGTTCACTCAAAGACCAACCATTCACGATTGGATGACTTTGTCCTCTGTTGTAACTTCGATAAGCTTCTTCAGCTTGCAGTCTGACAGTGCCTTTATCTTGTTTACTCAGCTCTTCTGGGGACTGTCTGGCCTCTTCAAGGATACACGGGTATCTGCTTAAGGTCAATGTTAAACATCAATTCTGATCCCTCACACCAGCCGAGGTCTTCCATACCCGAGCTGGTCACCTGAGCTGGTCATCTCCTCCTTAGTGGCTTCCCCCCATCAGTCACTACAGCAAAGGGCTTGTTTAAAATACATATATGTATGTAAGACTTTTTAAAAATACACCACCCTGTTTTGTTTCAGTTGATGGACACAGATCATGGTACACCAGTCAGTCACAAATGATTTTTGACATGTTTTGGCAGCTCCTGTCTCATAAACAAAATACAGGCTTTGGTCACTCAAAAAAAGGCAGGGTGTGATAAACCATCCATCAACCAAGGGGGATTTCCCCATCCTCTTCCTTCTGAGTGACTATGGTGTGTCACTCTCATCTCCACCATGGATGAACCAGTCGCTGGTGAAATGACAGCGGGGCCGTGTCTAAAATCACCTCTCCATTTTTTTTAGAGGATTTGGATTTTTAGCACATCCCACTCTCTGAATATTCCCCAAAAGTTTGTGGGTACCCAACACGTGATTAAAGAGTGACTGTAATAAAGGCAGCTGTGTCCCTTTCATTGAGCAGATCAGACAAACTGCACAAGTTCTCTTGTTCATAAATCAGTAAAAAAAATGCAGCAGAGTGTGCAAGACTTAGACCTTCTTTCTGTTCCAAGTGTTTTCAGACTTGGCAGAGTGTGTGTTCCTCGGAGGACTATGAATATGCCAAGTCTTAAGTATTTCTAGCAAAATAATTTTTTAGTTAGTTCAAGGAAAAAACCCATATAAACAGTTTGCTTAATAGCATCGGAATCAACTTTTAAGTACAGTGAAATACAGCTAAAAAGTTCTGGTTTGTTTTTCTTAAAAGTAGGGTGAAAGAAAGTGTTAAAAAATCCAGCCCAAGGAAGAGCTTCTTTGGAAAAAAATATGCTGATTGTACTTCTGCCTCCTTCCAGGAGCCTCCCTTATCTCCCTGATGGTCTCTTTCAGTTTGCAAATTTAATGCCTGGTTGTACATATTCAGAAAAAAAAAACAAAACACTTTCACAAATATGCCACTTTGGAGCTTCTTTGGAAAAAAATATGCTGATTGTACTTCTGCCTCCTTCCAGGAGCCTCCCTTATCTCCCTGATGGTCTCTTTCAGAAAAGTTTGCAAATTTAATGCCTGGTTGTACATATTCAGAAAAAAAAAACAAAACACTTTCACAAATATGCCACTTTGCTTCTTTAATGTGTTCATTTTTCTATGCTTTTATATTTAATGGCAAGCAAAACACTTTCACAATTATGCCACTTTGCTTCTTTAATGTGCTCATTTTTCTATGCTTTTATATTTAATGGCAGTTATGACTGCAGATTTGAATACTGATACAGTTATTGTGAGCCACAACCAAAACTTGTAAATACATATAGTTACCTATTTTCCACTGAAGTCTATAACTTTTTTACTACACTTTCCTTATAGTTGTTTTTTTTTTCAATATACTTTGAAAAGGAGGGCTCATTTAAACCCATTAAGATCAATTTAAGAAAACTTCAAGATAAAAATCTTCTCACTAATATCTATTGTACCATACTATAATTAACTAATAAGCTTTATTCAGTGAAACAGGGATAGTCACATGCCCACTGTATTTAACCTTAAATGTTTTGCTACAGAAGCCATCATTATTATACAGGAATATATATTATAGAGGAATATATGTGCACACAGTCACAGGTGTCCTGTTTGAACCCGAGACCTCTTGCTGCTATTTCTTTTTAGTAATTCCAATGTAAAGGAAAATGCTTTGGATGTTTAACTTCTTTGGTAATTAGACTTACTGGAGCAAAATCCTATTAAAAAGAAAACTCTAGCATACCATTTAGCATATGCATTGCTTAGATTTCTATACAAACACTTCTGTGTACATTTATTCTCTTTAGGGAAAGGATTTTTGTTTGGTATTAGTTCTGTATTTGTATATGTCTAACAAAACAGAGGCTGAAATGACAAACGTGCTTTTGGATGTCTGTTTGGGAGAGCAGAAATGTAATCAGTGGAACTTCTCAGCAATGTATCTTCCAGCCTGGAAAAAAATATCACTTGATGCTTTTAAAACTTTGTAGCAGTTGTATTTATACTGAGCCACCAAGTGCTAGAGGGGGCAGGGGATTAAACTCCCCCAGCAACACAAAGAACTGACTTGAGGCCAAGTACAAATCTGACCAGGCAATATCACAGAGAGCAAATAACTCACCGTCCTATTTGGATATTAAGACAAAAATCTGAGTTATATATATATTTCTAGAATAGATTTCTATACTATAACTCTACAACTGTAACAATGAAAGCTATATTTCATGCTCTTAACCCATTCAATAAAGGAAGGCTACCTGAGTTCCTGCTTGCCTTCACGGTTCTTTGCAGGCATAATCTTCACAAATCTTCTCACTTCAAAAAATGACTGGATTTTTCTTCAGTTGAATCGAAGTTTCTAAATGAGGCCTATAATTTTGCATATGGAGTTTAAAAAAAACCAAAAAAAGTATATTCAAGTTAGTTTTACATTGTGTGGCTCAAGAAGAAAGTTATAAGTTTACCTGGTTTTCTTTTAAGCCAAAGGATCCATCGACAAAATTCACCTACAAATTCTTTCCTGTAAGCTACAAATTCATCCTTGCCCATGATGCCAACAGAACCTTTGACAAAAATTAGGTCGTTGCCGTGCTTAAACTTTGGTTGATCATGTAGATCCAGGCTGCCTGATTGTTTCCTTTTTCCTTTTCCTCTCTTGTCTTGTATCCATCTGTTGTATGATCTTTGTGGTAGGAATTGCCTCTATCTGCTCCCTGAGTTTGCAGAGTTTGGTGCTGCTGGGGTTCTTGGCCACACCTGAAGATTCAGAGGTGTGTGCAGGTGATTATGTCCACCAGCCCATGTTTGTGCACACTAGAGGTGAGGCTGAAATGGCTTTGAAAGGTTAAACTTTATTTACTGGACCTTTCCAGGCATCACTGGGTCACTCTGTACTAGCAATACTGCTCGGTGGCATTTCATAGAGAGAATGTGAACAGTAGTTTCTCCTACTGGCATTAAGTGTAAGCACTGGCAAAGAAAATAAAACAATTTTTGTAGGCACTTAGCCAAACTATTAAAACAACAGAGCAAGTATTTTATTTCAATTGCTACTTTAAGACTGTTTTGTTTTTGTGTTTGCTTTCTTTTTCCTTCAAGGTCTTACTCCACTATGGTCCTCTTGTCATAAATTGCTGAACAGTTTAAAAAGCAGGTTACAGAAAACAAAAGATGCACTTTGGTTCTTTGTGATATGAGCTGCACGTTCTGTCTTGTACTAAATTAATCATAAACATTATTCAATTTTTAATTATTTAAAAAGGGAAAAGAGCAGGTGCCTGCCAAGAACAGGTGTTACAAATTTAAGGTTAAATAAAATGCAACAATCCTTTCCACGTCTTATTTCCAAAATATACGTCAGAAACCACACTCTGCACTAATACATCCCCAGCTGCGCAGAAGAAAACCTTTTTGCCACTCGTTTTCTGATCTGGTCTTGCTTCTAGAATTTACTTCCCACTTGATTCTCAAGGGTTCAGTTTTGCTGACCTCGATGGGATTCTGTAAACACCGTGTTGCCGAACTGAGAGCGAGCGTAAACATCGTTAGGTTTACACTGAGTAGCTCCATGAGTACCTTCAAAAAGCTTGGCAGGCTGCCCAAGGAGGAAGGATCTGCCCAAGGTTTATTTTGATTTCTTTTAAAAGCAGATATGAAATTCATCACTGTCTACGGCTGAACATGCACGCAAGCATTTGAAGGAGCGATGACGTATCACCCGAGCCTTTCCTCAAGCCTGTCAGTGGGTCATCTGAATACTTTGAGAAAGGTTAGTTATGATAAAATTAGTGAAACACTTTGGTAGATGGAATAATTTGCTTATAATGTATTTTAGGATCTGAACTAGCAGTGTCTGGGGGAGACAATGGTGAGAGCTGGAGATCAGCAATCATCCTGTGCATCACTGACCTCCTTGCTTTCCCTCCACATTTCCTTTAAGTGATTCACAGCTTTACCTTCAGAAAACCCTACTCTTTTTACAACATGCCAGCTTCTAAAAACATAGAAAATGTTGTGAAATAATTCTAAGGGAGAAGGTGTTATACTCTAGCAAACAGCCAATGCATTTCTGGCTAATCTCAGTTTTGCATCCCTGACAAGAGTCTGAAGAATTGTATTAAGTTTGGGAATACACCTGAAATACTGGATATGCTATCAGAGCCAATGACAGAGCTTTTCTTCCTCCAGCTGAAGTATCTGGGTTATTAAAATACCTAATATATAGTTCCAAAGCACTTTTTCCTTAGAGGATCTTAATGCACGTTACAAATATTTAAACCAAATATTTAGAGGAAGGTAAACAGATATACAATCACTTGTATATCTATTGAACAAATATAGAATATTATCATGGATTTTATATAACTAAAAATTGTATAAGGAAAAACTTTTCTAGGACTGTAATGCAGTACTGGAACGAGTTATCTGCAGGGCTGGTGGAATCTCCATTCTTGAAGGTTTCCAGGGATGGGGCATCTACCACGTCTCTGGGTAACGTGTTCCAGGGTTTCACCACCCTCCTCGTAAAACAATTCTTCCTTCTATCTAGTCTAAATCTTCCCTCTTTTAGTTTAAAACCATCACCACTTGTTCTATCACAACAGGCCCTGCTAAAAGGTTTGCCCCCATCTTTTCTGGAGACACCCTGTAGTACTGAAAGGCCGCTATAAGGTCTCCATGGAGCCTTCTCTTCTCCAGGCTGAATAACCCCAGCCTGTCCTCATAGCAGAGGGGTTCCAGCCCTCTTGTCATCTTCGTGACCTCCTCTGGACCCACTCCAAGAGGTCCATGTCCTTCCTGTGCTGAGGTCCTGGGGAGACCATCAGAGTCTTTGAGGGACTTTAAGAGCAAGGGACTAAAGCAGGGGTGGAGAGAACTGAAGATATATTTAAACAAAGAGAAGGAACTGGGGCACGACTAGAGTGGACACCTCCAGAAGTGGTGGACTTCTGGCTGGAACAAAACTGACCGTGAAAGTCCCAGGAGGACATCAGCAAGGAGCTAAAGAGGTAGGAAGCTGGGGCAAAATGAAGGGAAAAGCTTTGAGCAGCCATCCTGCTTCAGAGGCAGGCTCACGTGTAACTGAAAAGATTCTGCTTTCCCAGTGATTCAACAAGTCCCTTCTGTTCTCCCTCCTTCCTCCCCTCGTTACCACATTGAGGGTGCCCAAATTATCACCCTGCTGACCCGAGGAGGCAATTTATTCAACATCCCCATTCTGGCAAAAGATGTGTTTAGTTTTGAAGCAGGTCACATATTTAACGTTTTGGTAGCTAACCAAGAATTGATTTTTTTGCAGGAAGCTGACTCTGGCCACACACATAATACTGGTGGGGGTTTTAAACTACTTGCTCTCATGTGTAACAGCGCTGACTTCAATGGGCTGAATTTCACTGAATTTCACTGAATTTTAGAGTTGGAAGGGACCATAGAGATCATCTAGTCCAACTCCCCTGCTGAAGCAGGATTGCCTAGAGCTAGAGCATGTTACTCAGGAGCATCCAGGCGGGTCTTGAAAATCTCCAAAGAAGGGGACTCCACACCCTCCCTGGGCAGCCTGTTCCAGGGCTCTGTCACCCTCACCGTGAAGAAGTTTCTCCTCATATTTGAGTGGAACCTCTTATGTTCCAACTTGTGCCCGTTGCCCCTCGTCCTCTCACTGGGAACCACTGAAAAGAGTCTGGCTCCCTCCTCCTTCAACCCTCCCTTGAGATACTTGTCAGCATTAATAAGGTCTCTTCGTGTTAGAGATGCAGCAACTGATCAGTAATAGTATAGAAATCTAAATATTTATATATGCTTGTATTCATCCACTCAGCCAAATCATACATCCATACATAGAGATAGTGTTAGAGATGCAGAAACTGATCAGTAACAGTATAGAAACCTAAATATTTATATATGCTTGTATTCATTCACGCAGCCAAATCATACATCCATACATAGAGATACAATGTAATTCTACATGTTGACACATTTTCAGTGACATTTCTTGAGGGCATCTCTGTCGTTACTCTGTAAAGCAGAACACACATGTGCCTAACCCACAGCGTCCTACATCCATATTAACCCCACGTTAATTGATTGATTTTCTTTAGATTCAACTCCGCTGCATTGTTCTGCACATTTAGATACACACGCACCTCGTTATGCTGCTGGTGATAAACCAGAAAGAAGTCCTTTCCTTCCTGGGAAAAGGTACATTCCAGGCTTTTTGGGAAGGTGATGGTACAGCAATGTCATGCTTCCTTGAGTACAAGGTGCCACCCTGTGAAATACATCTGAGATTAATTATAGAAGCGAAAGAACCGGATGCTTTCATCACTTTCTTGGAAGTGTTTAGAACCAACTTGCCATCTCATGTTACCTGAGCAGGGGTTTCAAAAAGGAGAATCTGATATCATTTGCATGCATATCTCAATACAAAGTACAGACAAACTTCTTTGAAGTTCTTCTTCAAAGCGTCTTCAAAGGTGGGCCTCTAGTTTGTAAGGAGATACACACGTAAATAAAATCAGATTCAATTAACTTTTTAATTTGCTTCTTTAACAATAACATTGTTCCTATTAAAACACTGTTACCCTCTGGAGAACTTCAGTCAACAAGTACATACAAACACTACCACTGTAATGCTTGTTGGTGGTGTCAGAATAAAAAAAAACCCTCCTGAAGGAAGAAAAAAGCATTTTCTGAACTGTGAATCATTGCTACAACACAAGATTATGCAAAAGCTCAGCTAAATGGAGATAATCCAAAACACACTTCTTTTTTTTCCCTGGTGAATGTATGATATCTTTATTTGATTCCAGGCCACAGCGTTATCTGCAATAGGATTTGTAGTATCAAATCAAGACCATGTTACCTTTGATTCTTTGCTCTTAACTTACTATTATCTTTTATAAGAAAATAATTATTCACTATAAAATTACTTTAACTATGAAAACATACGATAAAGTCAGACGCTTTCCCAATTATCTGCCCTTGTAGGCTCTGCTAAATCTGATATGGAAGTGAGTAACAGAGACATTTTAATAATAATTCTAATATCATGTAGTGTACGGTGATAACAAATGTACTTGGAGCAAAACTGACTGTCGGCCTTTTCTGGGGTGTCTCAGGGGAATCACACATTGTTTTTATGAAAATAACTAAGTCGGTGTATTTGATACCGAGAAACTAGACTGCAGCAGGATTGACTGTGGAATCTAATTGCTTTCTAATATAATTTTATCTTAAAAATACTTGCATTAGTGATGGAAAATTTTCCCTTTATTTAAAAACAGCCCATAAGACATTCTATTTCAACTGCTTTGGTCGAAACAAAGGATACCAATCACCTTCCATCTCAACTGTCAAACCTCTTTGCTTTATTCTGCACACACAGAACACCATTAATCACTGGGGGAAAAACAAACCACACCTCTATATGCAAACTGCAAGGTGGGTACATCCACTTGCTCATATAGTGTGCAAGAAATGAGCTGAATGAACACAAATATTTCTGAAGTTACCCTGCAGAAACAGTATTTCTCTCATTCAAAAGTATCTACGTTATTATTATCTCTCTGTAAATTTTGCCTTTTCCAGTTTTTGTAGCCCTGAAATATATATATATATGCGTGTGTGTGTGAATGAGAACTCTGCTTGGGCATCCCTGTGGCTGAGAATTCATGCCTGGCTTAGAGCCTGTGTGAATTTCACTAGCTCTTGTTTCCCTGTAACACATGCCAAACTAGATATCAGAAGCCTTTTGTATTAAAGAATCAAACAAATGGTAAACAAATGGTTCTGCTTCTCTACCTTTCCCTTAAATCTTGTACCATCACCTTTTTGTTTAAGGTATTTCCAATGTTAGAGTTTTTCTTTTTTTATTTCTTTTTCTTTCTTCCTTCCTTTCTCTTTCCTTTCCCACCTTTTTGTTTAAGGTATCCCCAATGTTAGAGTTTTTCTTTTTTATTTCTTTTTCTTTCTTCCTTCCTTTCTCTTTCCTTTCTGTTTTTGTTTTTTTTTTTTCTTTCTTCTCACTTGTGCCTTTTTCCCTACAAGACTTTTATCTGACATGTAAAAACCCCTGGACTGTTTATTCCCACGAGTGAACTGCCAGCACATCACTGGCACAGATCTCAGAACGGACTCAGCTCCTCAGACCCAAGCTGTGTCCTGCTACGAGGGATTGCTTTCACTGCAGAATGAACCTTCGGTGGACATTTAGTCCTTGTCCTTCACCTGAGAGTCACTGCAGATGCAATCACCCCGTGAGAGCACCCCTTTTCAGACTCAAAGAGGCCACCGAGTCTCAAAACTGCAATCTCACAGAATCACAGAATTATCTAGGCTGGAAGAGACCCTCGGGATCATCGAGTCCAACCATCTACCCTACTCTAAAGTTCTCCCCTACACCATATCCCCCAACACCACATCTAAACAGTTCTTAAACACAGCCAGGGATGGTGACTCAACCACCTCCCTGGGCAGCCCATTCCAGTGTCCGACCACTCTCTCTGTGAAGTTCCTCTCGATGAGGAACTGTTACACCCAATAGCTCCTTAAGTCTAATTCGAGATCCATAAGGCAGCTCAGGGTCAGGGTAGTACAAATGGAGAATCAGTTTTTTGATATCACGAAAGGTCTAGACAGATGCAGGCAGGCACCTCAGCTGTACATCTACCCATTAAACCAAGCAATGGCTTTATACTGGAACACACCCTTGCAAGTGCTTTCAGCCTGGGTGATGTGGGTTGTACCGCCCTTCACAAGCTGGTGTGTAAGCAACGTCGGAGAGTTTTCATCAGAAAACATACAAATTATGAACAACATGATTCTTGGGTAAACACTAAGCTCTCATTGCAAGTAGAAAAAATTCAAGCTGATGAATTGTAGAGAGAGTCGCTAAGTTCATCTCTCTAAGCAACAAACTTCACAGAATCACAGAATCTTCTAGGTTGGAAGGGACCTTAAAGATCATCTTGTCCAACCGTCAACCTAACTGACAAAAATAGACACCCACACAACAAACAAGGAGCATCATCACTAAACCATACCTCCCAGCACTACATCAACCCGTCTTTTGAACACCTCCAGGGATGGTGCCTCAATCACCTCCCTGGGCAGCCCATTCCAATGGCTGATAACCCTTTCAGTGAAAAATTTTTTCCTAATATCCAGCCTGAACCTCCCCTGGCGCAACTTGAGGCCATTTCCTTTTGTCCTGTCGCCTGTGACTTGAGAGAAGAGACCGACCCCCCCTGGCTACACCCTCCTTTCAGGGAGTTGTAGAGAGCAATAAGGTCTCCCCTCAGCCTCCTCTTCTGTCACACGGGGGAAAAACACCTTGAGCGACCTGCCTTGGCTGGGAAAGATGTGCCAAGCATTCAAGTCCACAAAACCTCAAAGCCAGGGAGCACCCTGACAAGAGACAAGTGATGACCAGAAATGCAATTGAGTTTCTTTACAACAGAAAGCACCAGGAAATAGACTGGGGAGGGGGGAAAGAGCTGAAATTACTAACTGCTAAGGCTAGGTAGGCACGCCTTGCCTTGAAAATTCAGTTCCTGCAAGCCAACTACTCAAGACTGGAACAGAGGTTGGAAAAGACAGAGCTGCATCAGGCTAATTGTGGCAGGAAGGTCCTCCTCATTTAATCTGCACCTATAACCCCCCCGGGAACACCCGTGGCGGGGAGGAAGCTGTATGACAGAAGTGTGGGTCCTTGTTTACCAGACCTGTTATTTCCACCCACTGTTATTTCTGAACAGAGAGCTCAGCCGCGAAGGGAAAGGTGAAGAACAGCCGAGGCTTGAGGAGCTGCGGCCTGCGAAGCCGTGCTGCCACCTGGAGCGCAGGGCCCGCCACTGACGAGAATCCCTCTGGCACCGAACCTCCAAATACCTTCACGCTGGAGCTCCTGTACCTCCGCGGGGGACACAGGCAGAGCTGCAAAAGTCCCGCTTTTCACGGAATCACGGAATTGTCAGAGCTGGAAGGGACCTCTAGAGACCATCTAGTCCAACTCCCCTGCCAAAGCAGGGTTGCCCAGAGCACATCACTCAGGGCTACATCCAGGCGGGTCTTGAAAATCTCCAAGGAAGGGGACTCCACACCCTCCCTGGGCAGCCTGTTCCAGGGCCACCCTCACCAGAAAGAAGTTTTTCCTCAGATTTGAGTGGAACTTCCCATGTTCCAGCTTGTGCCCGTTGCCCCTCGTCCTGTCAATGGAAACCACTGAAAAGAGTCCACTCCATCCTCCTTCAACCCACCCTTGAGATACTTGTAAACGTAGATAAAGTCTCCCCTCAGCCTTCTCTTCTCCAGGCTGAAGAGCCTCAGCTCTTTAAGCCTTTCCTCGTAAGGAAGGTGCTCCAATCCCTTCACCATTTGAGTTGCCCTACGTTGGTCCGTCTCTCTTGAACTGAGGAGCCCAGAACTGGACGCAGCAGCGTGAAACCCACTACTGCCCTTGAGTTGCCCTACGTTGGTCCGTCTCTCTTGAACTGAGGAGCCCAGAACTGGACGCAGCAGCGTGAAACCCACTACTGCCCGGGAGGAGACAACCCCTTTCCCTCTCCTTCCGTATTTCACGTTTCAGCGCCGCGGAACTTCCTATTTTATCCGCGCCCAGCCCGACACGCAGGCGCACACCGCCGAGGGGTGTGTGTGGATGAATGGAGGGGTGGTGGTGAATGGAGGGGGGGTTCCGCAGCGGCGATACGGCCCCTTCCCCCCCGTGGAGGCGCCTAGACCGTAGGCAGCCGTCCCCCTCGGGAGCTGCCATGCCGAGAGAGACCCATACTCCTTCCTCCCCCAGCCACCACCGGGGAGCCCCTCGCCCGTTAACGGCCGAACAGACCCTCTCCACCCCTGCATAGGCCTCACCGGAAGTGTATGTGGGGGCACTCCCACAATGCACCGGGGGGCGGGCCGCAGATCACGTGACCTCGCGCGCCGGCACGGGCCGTTCCCGCCGCTTCCCCCGCGGGGCCGGGGGTCCGCGCGCGCGGGGGCGGGGCCTCCCCACAGGTAGGGGTGGGGGGGGCGGGGCCTGCGGCTGGGCGGCCGTTGAACGGCCCTTCTCCCTCACGGAGCCACGGGCGGTGTCTGCAGCCTCCGGGGTAAGAAAATGCCGGCGTTTAACAGGGGCTGGCCGGGCCTGAGGGCGGGGGGAGCGGGTAGAGCGGGCAGAGCCCCTCCAGAGGGTCGGCCGTGGCGGGGCCTCCCCTCACAGACAGCCTCTGCCGCCTCCGCGGGGCCGTGGGTTGCGGGGGAGGCGTTGCCTCAGGGGAGGGGGTTATCAGGAGCACCCCGTAATAGCAGCGATGTTATTATTATTATTGAATGGCACCCATCGATAGCGGGTCCAGAGAAGGGCGACAAAGATGGTGAGGGGTCTGGAGAATAAGTCTTGTGAGGAGAGTCTGAGGGAACTGGGGTTATTCAGCCTGGAGAAGAGGAGGCTGAGGGGAGACCTTATTGCTCTCTACAACTCTCTGAAAGGAGGGTGTAGAGAGGTGGGGGTCGGTCTCTTTTCTCAAGTCACAGGCGACAGGACAAGAGGAAATGGCCTCAAGTTACGCCAGGGGAGGTTCAGGCTGGATATTAGGAAAAATTTTTTCACTGAAAGGGTTATCAGGCATTGGAATGGGCTGCCCAGGGAGGTGGTTGAGGCACCATCCCTGGAGGTGTTCAAAAGACGGGTTGATGTAGTGCTGGGAGGTATGGTTTAGTGATGATGCTCCTTGTTTGTTGTGTGGGTGTCTATTTTTGTCAGTTAGGTTGACGGTTGGACAAGATGATCTTTAAGGTCCCTTCCAACCTAGAAGATTCTGTGATTCTGTGATTCTCCCTTCAGAGGAGGAGGAATGGCAGCATCCTCACACCACCCGCGCTCCTCAGTGTTTTGATTGGTGTGGACTTGAGCGGACATAGGGTTATTTTCTTAGCAATACTCCATGGGGTGCAAAGCTTCAGATCGTTTTGAGGTACCTGTCGGGCAAAGCTGATGCAGAAGATTTTGATTCCTGTTTGTTCTGCTGATCAGGCAGGCCTGGGCAGCTTCTCCAGAAACTGGATTCCCTTGTTTGAAGAAATGAGTGACTGCTTGTCTTTAAAGAAACTAACGCTGTATTTTCATGCACTATGACCTGTTTTGTCCCTTGCTTTTATTGTAAAAGCCAGTTTTAATGGCTGTTTCTTAACTTTTTTTGCTTCCCGTCAGAGGACGAGGAACTAGTCTAAATGCAGTAAACTGGAAGAAATGGAAGAAAGAAAAATCAAGAGGAGGAGCCCCAAATCATCTACCAGCCACCCCGCTCAGGTTGCGAATTCCAAGAAAAGCTCGGTGCCAGTCAGTAAAAGCACAGCCTTTTCAAATCCCGCTGCACCACAGCCTGCGGTACAAAAACCAAAGCTAAAACGGTAAGTTTGGGAGCATCTTGTAAGCTCAGTGGAAGTGAGAGGCAGAAAACAGCCAGTTTAAAGGGTGTTTAGGCTGGCTGGGGCAGAGTGAAGTGCTTCAGGCTCATGAAAATTTTTGATTACCTGCCTTTTTTTTTTTTTGCAAAGCAATTTGTGTTTAATGCGATATAATGGTTATTTTACAGAAAAGGAAGGTGCTTGATACTCTCCTTGTAAGCTTTATGAAACATTACACGATGCTGTAGCTCATACTGATAATGATTTAGCTGAAGAGATGATAGCTGGATACAAGTGGGGAAAGGCAAGAGTTGGGTGATCAAATGGTGATCAAATATGGGGAACGTAAGCATCGTAGGGGGCTTGACAGAGCCCCAGAAGCACAGCTGAGAGGAAAAAATGAAATATTACATTGCTACAAGGTTGGAACTGACAAGTAGGGCAGGAAATGAAGGATGTAAATTGAACAGGATGAGCTACAACTGGAATTTCCGGGTGTTTTTTTGTTTGGGGAGCCAGCAGTGGTAACTCCCAGGCCATACTCATGTGTGCAGAGAGGCCTTCAGCTCTTCAGAAAGTACCTATTTGGAATAGTCTGAGTGTTATTGATGACATGTCTATTTCAGTTTGAGAAATATATTTTCTAAGGTGCAGGAAAATTAACAGTCTTGGCCGTAGCAGGTACAGAAGATGAATGAGTGAAGAGGGATTTTTAAAGTGAAATGTTAGCAGGGAGAGGCAGCTGAGTTTATTGACCCCTAAGTACTAGCTGAAGATTAAATGCTGAACTCTGCTCTTTGGCTCAGTCTCTTTGAAGGATCCAGTGATCCTGATGAATAATAAATTTCTGCAATGTAAAGCCTGCCTGTATGTTATTCTTCAGGGAAAATGCATTCACATTTTGAGGGAAATAATAATAAATACTAACGTGCTATGAATCGGTGGGTTCTGCAGTTGACTGTACAGTTTACATAAGTCTCACACCATTCTGGAATGTGCTAGAAATTAATTTCCTGTAGCCCACTATATTGGCTAGAGAAGAAAAATCTCCTTTTTTGCCTTAAGTTTTGGAACTTCTAGAGAAAAATGTGTGGGGAATCCAGGAATTTTGATGGTTTTGTTGCAGAGGGGGCGGTAGAGAATTTTTAGCACGTTTAACATCTGTTCAGACAGATGTGTTAGGACTGGGAGATTGCTTTTGATGGTGAGTTTTACCAAATGTGGATGCTACTTGAAAGTGGGAAGAAAGAGCTCGAGGAGAACTCATCTGGAAGCAAGGTCACCTTCCTGTCTAGGTTATAACGGGTTGTTTTTCACACTGGTTGTAGGTGTTTGTGCCAACAGGGGCGTCTGATGGCTGAGGGGTTTTCTCTCTGGCTTAAAGAGAGTTTGCAGATACTTTTTGGGTGCTGTTACGTAGATAATGCCCCATGTGCCATTGCTGGGTAATGATCCTCTTTAAATTATGAAGATGGCCATCACACGCGTGTGCTCCATTGATGTTTCCCACTGTTAATAGGAAAGCAGATTCCTGGAATCCTTTACTTTGCAGTATCAAACTGTCAGTGTAGTGACGTTGTTCTCTATTCTTAGGACAAACTGGTCATCCATTTTTTAACTTAAAAGGAGTGACTTAAAATATGTATTATATATTTTCCATTTCATTTTCAAGACCCAGATGTAGACTCATCGTACATTTCAGATTCTCAGTGAAAATGAAAGCGGGAAGTAAGCTTTTTGTTTTGTTCATTAATTGTTTTTTCAGTGTAATAAAAGAGAAAGCCAAACCTCCAGGAGGGGAAGCGAAGGGGGCACAGGCAGCACCCATCCAACATTCTTTTCTCACCGATGTCTCAGATGTCCAGGAAATGGAGAGGGGACTTCTGAGTCTCCTGAACGACTTCCACTCCGGCAAACTTCAAGCATTTGGTAAATGCGTGAATTGTCTGTATGCAATAATCATGTTTATAGCCATAGGATGGTAACATTTACAACCAGATGTGCTGTATGGACAGTCAACTGGTTTGTTATATCGGTCTCTGCCGTGTGAAATTAAGTTTAATATAAATAATAGATCTTTAGTGCCTTTTAATTTATAGTCCTATTGTAAGGTCTTTGGTGTGTGATTACTCAAATACCATTTCATTGTGCCTTCCAGCGTTGCTCACCAAAGGCAGTACCTTAGTTTATGGATTTAAGATGCCAAATTTAATGCCACTTATTTATGATATTTAGGAATATTAAGAAGCAACTGTATTTAGCACCTGGTTTTGCTGTGTATTAACACTTTAGACTATTTGTAACAACTTTAATGGAATCCCATGCAAGTCACGTTTTCCCAGCTTGCTCTTCTGTTTTAGCATCTTACTATTCTTACTACATCACAGTCGATGGAGTATGGAATCCCATGCAAGTTGTGTTTTCCAGCTTGCTCTTCTGTTTTAGCATCTTACTATTCTTACTACATCACAGTTGATGGAGGTTTCAGAAAAACCCTGACATTCTTCTGCTTCCTTTTTCCCCCCCTGTGCTGAGTAGAAAGAGGCAGAGGTGCTTTTGCAAGGTTAGTGTTAGGTGAGACTGTTACGTTAATTCCACACCGATTTTACAAGAGAACCTGAAACATCTGCATTATATAAAGCGTCAGTTACAAGAAAGAAATCCCTATTCTTACTACATCACAGTCGATGGAGGTTTCAGAAAAACCCTGACATTCTTCTGCTTCCTTTCCTCCCCCCTGTGCTGAGTAGAAAGAGGCAGAGGTGCTTTTGCAAGGTTAGTGTTAGGTGAGACTGTTACGTTAATTCCACACCGATTTTACAAGAGAACCTGAAACATCTGCATTATATAAAGCGTCAGTTACAAGAAAGAAATCCCCAAGGTTAATCAAAATTAGAAAGAAGGCTTATTGTGATCATATTTAAAAATACAGGGGATAAATTCAGAATATAGAAAAAACCACATCTATTCTAAAAAATGAATTTAGTACATTTGGTAGTTATCCCAAGTTCAGCACAACTTAACACCAGACAGGACGGCAGAAACTTCAGTCTGTGAAACAGGGAGAAATGACTGACCACATCTATTCTAAAAAAACAGTTTGGTACATTTGGGAGCTATCCCAGGTTCAGCACAACTTAACACCAGACAGGACAGCAGAAAGTTCAGTCTGTGAAACAGGGAGAAATGACTGAGAAAGCAAATGAACTTGTAAATCTGGTATTTAAATTCCTCTTTTCTGAGGTGAAAAAGCCGCATCTTCACACCTTCCTTTGCTCCCTCAGGTTCCTGTGTCTAAAGCTGTTACTCATCCTTTTAGGAAACGAATGTTCCATAGAGCAGATGGAGCACGTGCGGAGTATGCAGGAGAAACTTGCTCGCCTCAACCTGGAGCTCTACGGGGAGCTGGAAGAACTTCCTGAAGATAAAAGGAAACTGGCCAGTGACTCCAACCTGGACAGACTTCTGTCAGATGTGAGTACTGGGAAGGCAGAAAACTCGGAAATTTGCCCGCAGAACTCAGCTCTGCCGGGGTGGGCAGTGATTTATAGTTGAGGAGAACACAATTCTGTGATGAACCAAGACATAAGCCCTGCCCTCATCTTGGTTCTGAGAAAACACAGCACCTTGCTCCCTTTTTTTGTGGGCTGGTGCTTGTTTTGGTGAGTGGGGCAGCCTGGCTGGAAACTGCCCGAGGATGGGGGCCTGTTTGGAGACCGTTTTCCCTGTGGTCCATCCTCCTACATCTGAGGAAGCCCATACATAACAAGGAGTTTAGAAACTGAAAGTGTAGAATGTATAGATCGCCTTTCTGTAGTGTATTTCCATAAACACCAAAACTAAAATTTCTTAAAATTTCCCGAGATAAGCAGATCTAAATTTAATTTGGGACTTAGCTCTTTTGGTGTAGAACTCAGCACTGGTTTGCTTTACAGAATAAAAATTATACATTTCAGCCCAAACTATTAGTGATTTGCTTCAGTGTTGCAATGTATTTATTTCAGCATTTCAGCATAATGGTTGCATTTGACTGAAATGCCATTTCTGATGCTTTCTACATTTATATTGCAGCTAGAAGAACTGAATTCATCTATGTATCCTTTTCCTTAAATGTCTATTTTGCACTATAATTATTAACTGTAATCATGTTACACTGTATTTCCCCGGTAACTGGTGTCTTTACAGTCAGATCACTTCAATAATATCATTTATTTTAGAATAGCACTATGACACTATGTGGATTTTGGGTTCTTACAATATACAAGTGACTGGATCTTACCACTTTTAATTCCAGGCTGGAGCGTTGTGTTCAGTTTATTCTGCAGTCTAGTTATTCCTGATGTTACACATTTTGTATACGTTGAGGAAGGTGGGACTCTGACTTGGGACTTGAGATACTGCACTGGCACATTCATCCTCTGTGTCTGTGGAAAGTAGTTTAAAGCCAGGTCTCATATAGAACATAAGTGGAAAGTGATAATAATACCAGGTAATAAGACCTGGGAGTCATGATGGACAACAGGATGACCATGAGCCAGCAATGTGCCCTTATGGCCAAGAAGGCCAGTGGCATCCTGGGGTGCATCAGGAAGAGTGTGACCAGCAGGTTGAGGGAGGTCATCCTGCCCCTCTGCTCTGCCCTGGGGAGGCCCCATCTGGAGTCCTGTGTCCAGTTCTGGGCTCCCCAGTTCAAGAAGGACAGGGAACTGTTGGAGAGGGGACAGCAGAGGACTATGAAGGTGATGAGGGGCCTAGAACATCTCTCTTACAAGGAAATGCTGAGGGACTTGGGTCTTTTTAGTCTGGAGAAGAGAAGGCTGAGGGGGGATCTGATCAACACCTATAAATACTTAAAGGGTGGGTGTCAGGAGGATGGGGCCAGTCTTTTTTCAGTGGTGCCCAGGGACAGGACAAGAGGGAATGGGCACAAACTTGAACAGAGGAAGTTCCATCTAAACATGAGGAGGAACTTCTTTCCTGTGAGGGTGGCAGAGCTCTGGAACAGGCTGCCCAGAGAGGTGGTGGAGTCTCCATCTCTGGAGACATTCAAAACCTGGACACGTTCCTGTGCAACCTGCTCTGGGTGGACCTGCTTTGGCAGGGGAGTTGGACTAGATGATCTCCAGAGGTCCCTTCCAACCCCATGTGATTCTGTAATAGTGATAAAAATAATCTGCCATCCCCCTTGATCCACCAGCTCATTCTGGATGTCTGTAATGCTTAAGTCTCATCGAGGAAGATTAGTCTCCTGGTTGAGAAGTAGCACAGGACTTAGGAGAACCAAACTAGTCTGGACTGGTGTGTACCCGTGGTGTGTACCCGTGCCAGGATAAGCACCGTTCTGTCTGACACTGCTCTCTCGTTTGTACATCATCTGTATGTGAAAGTGTTATTCCTTGATGGTTTGCTTCAGCCAAAAACTGCATTTAGCAGATGCTCAAGATATTCCAAATAGTGCCACGGGCTGAAAGAACAGCTCTGTCAGGTTGGATTCTTTCGGAAGCTTTTCTTTTGTTTTTCCTGACGGTGGAATCTGGAACAGTTGGTGGTTGGGATTTTAATTTTTTTTTTTTTTTTTAATTTTACACAATGCAGAATCAAAGTGCAAATCCAAGTGTTTATTTTTGCACATTCCTTTTGAGTGCTGCATTATGTCAGGACTCGGATCTAGAGTTTTAAATAGGTTGTTGTGACGCTCTGCTTTTTATTATTGCCTTATTTAATAGAAAAATTGGGGAAACGTGGAAGTACATTTCTTCTGCTGAAACGTTCAGATGGTTGGAAATGATATATGTATATAAAGTTCATCAGCATTTCTCCAATTTTTGTGAAGGTGATGATGACATTGCCTTTCTGATCAGTACATGGACAATCTGCACACTGTTTCTTTAGTGTTTTGTGCAGAATCAAAGTGCAAATCCAAGTGTTTATTTTTGCACATTCCTTTTGAGTGCTGCATTACGTCAGGACTCGGATCTAGAGTTTTAAATGGGTTGTTGTGACACTCTGCTTTTTATTATTGCCTTATTTAATAGAAAAATTGGGGAAACGTGGAAGTACATTTCTTCTGCTGAAACGTTCAGATGGTTGGAAATGATATATGTATATAAAGTTCATCAGCATTTCTCCAATTTTTGTGAAGGTAGCGATGACATTGCCTTTCTGATCAGTACGTGGACAATCTGCACACTGTTTCTTTAGTGTTTTGTTGATCAGTGATACCACAGATTAATTTATTGTTATTAAAGTGAAACATTTGAAATAAGCCATTCCTTTGATCAGTGATACCATGGATTAATTTATTGTTAATAAAGTGAAACATTTGAAATAAGCCATTCCTTTCAAGAAGGCGCTATCTGTTCAGCTGTGTTAAGAAGCTACAAATTCTTGCATGGTCTGAATGTTTGCAGAGTTTACTTTGATTCATTACTGTGAATAATCATGTCACTAGATTAGAACTGGCACTAAATTTAAGGATTGTGAAATTCCCAAATTGGGTAAATAGTTATTGTTCAATAAATCCAGTACCTGCCATTTTGTACTCTTTCCTATGTTATAAGTAGTCTGGTACTAATTAGTGTCATCTTTGTGTTCACAGTCAGAGAAAAAAGTGTTTTAGTGTAAAATCAGGCTGGTTTCTATCCTGCTCCATCAAACTACGCTTTTGGTTCCAGGCTGATTTTATATTCAGTTTTTAGGCAATAGATTCAGGTTCTGTATTGTGTATACTCACTGTGCAAGGAGAGAAACCTTCATCCTTCCACTTGGGAGAGAAGCTGGTACCTGTGGTGTGAAATCCAGAGAGGGCTCAGGACAACTGGAATACGACACAAAACCACATTTTATTTTCCACTCTTTGCCTAATTATTGGTTAATTATCCTTGTCTGCACAGTAACTTCTCCCCATCAGCACTATGGCCTTGTTTCCCTGCAGAGTTCTGATCATCATTTTTGCACAGTAACTTCTCCCCATCAGCTCTATGGCCTTGTTTCCCTGCAGAGTTCTGACCATCAAGCAAAAAAGCAGCAGTTTTAGCCTCACGTCTCAAGGTGTGTCGAGGTGTGACAGTGGCTGAAGCACAAGTAAATAACACATTGGTGTAATTCAAGATATGGACATAAACACCTTTCTCCAGCAGCTGTTCAGAATTATATAGAATTAGCACCTTTTTCTTCAACTATCTAAAGCCCACAGGCAATTGCAAGTCACCAAGAATGCAGTAATTGCAAGTAATTAAATTAAGACTCTCTTATCTCCTCCTGCATACACATTTGCATCTTTTAAACAATCCATTAATAGCACACGCCCATTATCTTTTGGATTCATACAAGAAAATTTTGTAGCAAGATCTTAAAGACTAATAAATAAAACACCAGTCACAATTCTAGGCTCTTGCAGGAAAAGAAGAAAATCTACCGTGACACATTTGTGGAGAGCCTTTTGTAATTATAAAAGTACTAAGTGGCTGCATAAAATGAGTTCCTTTCCCGTTACCTTGTTTCCTGAAGGGTTGTTTATGGAGCTAAAAGTGTATTAATTGTGAATGTTTCCTGGCCTGAACTCACACTGATACATGGATCTGGTGTTTGAAGGACGATGCGCTTTCCTGCCTCACTGCTCTGGATCACCCCACGCCGAGAGACATCTGTGGAACCTCAATGAACCACAAAAAAGAAAATAAAAAGTCAGGATGAAAAGCTAAAGGAAAAAAAAGTGTCTCAGGAGGATTTGGGAGAAAGGCGGCCAGTGGGGCGAGGGAGGTGACTCTGTCCCTCTGTTCCACTCTAGTGAGGCCCCACCTGGAGCACTGTGTCCAGCTCTGGAGTCCTCAGCACAGGAAGGACATGGACATGTTGGACAGGGCCCAGTGAAGGGCCATGAAGATGCTCAGAGGTTTGGAGCAGAGGGCCCAGTTGAAGGGCCATGAAGATGCTCAGAGGTTTGGAGCAGCTCTGCTGTGAGGACAGGCTGAGAGAGTTGGGGTTGGTCAGCCTGGAGAAGAGAAGGCTCCGGGGAGACCTTAGAGCCCCTTCCAGTCTCTAAAGGGGCTACAGGAGAAATGGGGAGGGACTCTTGATCAAGGAGGGGAGCCATAGGATGAGGGGGGACAGTTTTAAACTGAAAGAGGGGAGATTTAGATTAGATCTGAGGAAGAAATTTTTTTACAATGAGGATGATCAAACACACTCTTGTGAGAAATCAAAACTCGTTTTCATGTGGATAATTTCCTCAACCACTCCCTTGTATAAATCACAGAATGGCTTGGGGTGGAAGGGACTTTAAAGATCATCCAGTTCCAACCCCCTGCCCTGGGCAGGGACACCTCCCATCAGACCAGGTTGCTCAAAGCCCCATCCAGCCTGGCCTTGAACCCCTCCAGGGATGGGGCACCCACAGCTTCTCTGGGCAACCTCTTCCAGTGCCTCACCACCCTCACAGGAAAGAATTTCCTCCTCAGATCTAACCTAAATAACACCACCTGCTGTAGGTGTAACAGGTGCTTTGAGGGTACCTTTTTCTAGACAGGTGTTGCTCAGATGTTCCTGTCACAGGGAGGACAGTGATGATGGCAGCCAAATTTGGCCCAGACGATCCCAAAGCACATGAGGACACGAGCAGCCTTACTGCGTCCTGAAGTTGTTTCTTCTCAACACACTTGGGTTTCATCATTCCTCATGACATCAAATCTGGCACTTTGTGCCAAATGCCACATACACGATCCAGTTCTGAGTTGAGAGGCTGTTCAGGGTTACTAACACAGAACATGTATTTAGCCAGCAATACTTCCTTTTTAATTAATTTAATTTGTTCTTTTTTAATTACAAATAATTAAATTCACTGTGGGTGATCTGTGCCTTGAGCAATCTGGCTGTCATCATCGCAAAATGATTTTTTCTCGCTATGAAAAGATGAATTATTTAATGTAAGTACCTACCAAATCCTCCATTGATGTCCCAAAAGAACCAACCAACACACAGGGGGAAGGAGACACCAGAGGAGGCCCCACGCAACGACCACACTGGAAATGGAGAGAAGTTTTTATTGTTAGAGCTTCATCGATAAATTGGAACCATCTAAACAGAGTTCTGGGCCTCAGCTGGCTCATAGTGAGGGGTCATCATGGGCCATCCCTCGTTACAGCGAACACTAACGAGCTGCTGATCAGCTGGTGGGTTTTAATTTGTAGGTACCAACCTAGAAAGACTAGTTGCATGTTGGCTTCTTTGTTCTGGAGAACATTATACCAGAATGTATTATATCAGTGCTTTAAAATCATTAACAGGAGAAATTTAAAATCATTTGCAGGAGAAAAGTATTCCTCCAAATCACATCCTTTCAGCTCTGCTTTGGAAGAAACAAAGGAGACAGCCGAGTCCATCTGGCAGCAGAGAAACCCATGGCATCACTCTACAAAGCCAATGCTCTAGATGTTCCAACCACTGGAGATGATTTCACCACAAAATACAAAGCAACCCTCAGAGCACAGACTGGGTATATGGACCATAAGAAACAGCTCAAAACAGCTCAAAAATGCAAACACCTGTGCACTGGTGATTCACCTTTTGGGGCACAAACACCTTCATGGAGGAGCTCAATTCCCCTCCTCGGCCTAATTAACCAGCTGAGACACCTGTGCTCTCTGCTGCAGCACTGATTGTCTTCTGCACCACCAGGACTTGCAGTAGACACACCGTGAAATGTTAATGGAAACCACGAGGGGTTTATCCCAAGAACATGACTGAAGTTTGAAGTTGGCAGGAGACTGGGCTTCTAAGGCATCACAACATCTGGAAGTCCAGACTACAGAGTTCCAGCCTGGCCTGAAAGAACCGTTCCCAGAAGCTCATGAAGCTACCTCAGCACATGTAATGTAAATTTGGAAATTTCCATGGAAATTTCCTTGCTTCAGCACTGCTTTATCCCCAAAGTGCAGAGCCAACCAAGGAATACATTCCATTTGAGGACCCTTTGCAGCAAAAGGATCTCTCGATGCTTCTATGACCTCTTCGTTCCTGCTGACCAGAAGGCAGGGGACTACATTCCTTCAGAGATATATGACAGAAAAAACCAAGTCAAAAGTTAGAGGTACATCACTTCTGCATTTTCTGACAGAACACACTGAATTACAACTTCCTATAAATTCCTTTTGTATTTTTTTCCTGAAACACACACTGTATTTTCACACTTGGACTGAACTCAAGCTTCGTGTCGGTTCCAGATCTGCAAAATAAGGCAGAGCAGGTACAGAGCCCCGAATTCCACATCAGTTTAATTAAACAGGCTCCTCAGGTACCACAGAGCTTCCTTCCCAAAGCATCTCCTTTGCCTTCTGCTGAGAAAGCCCACGTAGCTGAAGCCCCCACCACACCTACCTTTCTGCCAAGCCTGACACAGCCCATCGTGTCTGCTAGACCTTCAGGAGCCCCTCAGACCTCTGAAGGCAGATGATGGAAGGCAGAAGCCCCCGTTGGTGCTGTATGGGCCACATGGAAGAGTGCACGTACGCTGCAGAGCAGGAGGTATCTCCACCTCCACCAGCTCCTCCGTGGGCTGGGAAACAAACGCTCCAGTCACGTAAGGGTCAAACACAATGTTGCTAGAATTGGGGTTTTCATCAATACACCACCAAATGTCAACTTAAATCGCTTTCACTACTGATGTTTTGTTCATTTCCTACATCACTCATGACCAAGACCAGTCAAAACAAAGTAATTTCAACTAACTCACATTAGATGCCTTCCTGGGCTCTGTAAGAGGGAAAGCATCGAGAACAGGTTCTACCAGAGATGGAAGAGAATTCACATAATTTTCTGTGCTCCAGCACCCTGTCAGAACGTGACAAAGTACTAACAGTCACCCTAAAAGTTTGGATCTAAGCTGTGAGATCACAAACTCAGCATTTCGTAGAGTCACAATTCTGAATTTTTGAGTATTACGAAGAAACAAGGGCTGTTCCTGACCCTAAATGCAAGACACTGAACACGTGTATATCAGTAAGCTGGAAAAAAAATACATCATTATGTTGGAAAAAAGTACTGTAAAAATCACTTTGGAGGCCACTGTTAGTGTACAGCCAGGTACAGAGTCCAATCAGTGTGTAATTTAGGTACAATTAGTGTGTCCAATCTAGGCTTAAAGCAGGAATTGCACCTTTCAAACCCATTTCGCCAATTTAAAGAAATATTACTGAAAGGAAATTACACAGTATTAAACCTTCCCCCAAAAAACATAACTGAATTTTGAAAAGCAATTAATTCAAAGACTCCTGTGAAAACAAGAAAAAAAAGGTTTATAGTTTGCTCAGGTACTAATTATCAGGACAACACTGTAGGGACTCTTTAGTTATTAGCATATAGACTTTTAAACATTGTTCCTATACACATTCCATTTGAGGACCCTTTGCAGCAAAAGGATCTCTCGATGCTTCTATGACCTCTTCGTTCCTGCTGACCAGAAGGCAGGGGACTACATTCCTTCAGAGATATATGACAGAAAAAACCAAGTCAAAAGTTAGAGGTACATCACTTCTGCATTTTCTGACAGAACACACTGAATTACAACTTCCTATAAATTCCTTTTGTATTTTTTTCCTGAAACACACACTGTATTTTCACACTTGGACTGAACTCAAGCTTCGTGTTGGTTCCAGATCTGCAAAATAAGGCAGAGCAGGTACAGAGCCCCGAATTCCACATCAGTTTAATTAAACAGGCTCCTCAGGTACCACAGAGCTTCCTTCCCAAAGCATCTCCTTTGCCTTCTGCTGAGAAAGCCCACGTAGCTGAAGCCCCCACCACACCTACCTTTCTGCCAAGCCTGACACAGCCCATCGTGTCTGCTAGACCTTCAGGAGCCCCTCAGACCTCTGAAGGCAGATGATGGAAGGCAGAAGCCCCCGTTGGTGCTGTATGGGCCACATGGAAGAGTGCACGTACGCTGCAGAGCAGGAGGTATCTCCACCTCCACCAGCTCCTCCGTGGGCTGGGAAACAAACGCTCCAGTCACGTAAGGGTCAAACACAATGTTGCTAGAATTGGGGTTTTCATCAATACACCACCAAATGTCAACTTAAATCGCTTTCACTACTGATGTTTTGTTCATTTCCTACATCACTCATGACCAAGACCAGTCAAAACAAAGTAATTTCAACTAACTCACATTAGATGCCTTCCTGGGCTCTCCAAGAGGGAAAGCATCAAGAACAGGTTCTACCAGAGATGGAAGAGAATTCACAGAGTTTTCTGTGCTCCAGCACCCTGTAAAAATGTGACAAAGTACTAACAGTCACCCTAAAAGTTTGGATCTAAGCTGTGAGATCACAAACTTAGCATTTCACAGAGTCACAATTCTGAATTTTTGAGTATTATGAAGAAACAAGAGCTGTTCCTGACACTAAATACCTGTATATCAGTAAGCTGGAAAAAAATACATCATTATGTTGGAAAAAAGTACTGTAAAATCACTTTGGAGGCCACCATTAGTGTACAGCCAGGTACAGAGTCCAATCAGTGTATAATTTAGGTACAATTAATGTCCAGTCTAGGCTTAAAGCAGGAATAGCACCTTTCAAACCCATTTCGCCAATTTAAAGAAATATTACTGAAAGGAAATTACACAGTATTAAACCTTCCCCCAAAAAACATAACTGAATTTTGAAAAGCAATTAATTCAAAGACTCCTGTGAAAACAAGAAAAAAAAGGTTTATAGTTTGCTCAGGTACTAATTATCAGGACAACACTGTAGGGACTCTTTAGTTATTAGCATATAGACTTTTAAACATTGTTCCTATACAACCCCTAGCTAGTTGTTTTGAAATACTATCAAAAGAACATATTTATATTGTAATAACAAAAATAATATTTAAAGTCCTTGGTTCTCGTGCCTTTTCTTC